TGCATGAAACAGGATGCTGTTGATTTCACAATAGTGATCGGTACAAGTTACAATGCATATTGCTTTTAAGACTATTGGGAAACTTATGGATATAGGTCTTCAGCTGACAAGATCTGAAGATGCTCTGCCTTTGCCCAATCCAAATACTTACATCATCATCGGATTGGGGTGGAGCTGAATACAGCCTCCAACATTAACCCTTTCGGAACTATTGTCTTAGCTAACAGCAAATTTAGTGAATGTTTGGAAAGACAAACTGAATATTGCTGCTAATTGCAAATGGAATGGAATGTAAAAATTGGGAAGTTTTGCTGCAGGTGTATAGAGCGTTGGTGAGACCACATCTAGGGTACTGTGTTCAGTATTAGCTTCCTTATTTAAGAAAGGACCTAATTATATTTGAAGCCATTCAGAGAAGGTTAACTTGACTGATTCTTGGGATGAAGGGGTTATCTTATGAGGAAATGTTGACAAGGCTAGACTTTTATTCACTGAAGTTTAGGAAAATGTGAGATGATTTTATTGAAACATACAAGATCCCGAGGAGACTTGACCGAGTGGATGTTGAAAGAATGTTTGCCCTTGTGGGAGATACTAAAACTTGGGATCAGAGTTTAAAAATAATGGGTGTCTCACAGGTTATTTTTATCCCTCCAAGCGTTGAGAGTCTTCTCCAGACAATAGGAGAGACAAAAAAAACTGCAGATGCTGGAATCCAAGGTGGACAAACAGGAGGCTGGAAGAACACAGCAAGCCAGGCAGCATCTGGAGGAAAGGAGCAGTCAACATTTCGGGTATTACCCTTCTTCAGGACAAACTCGTTGGATAGTTTTAAGGCAAAGGTAGATAGATTCTTGATGAACAAGGAACTTAAAGGGCATTGGGGCAGGTAGGATCAACCATGTTATTGAATAGTGGAGTAGGCTTGAGGGGCTGAATGGACTCCTCTTGAGTATGTCAGTATGACTGCTGGCATCATGAGCGTTAACAGTAAGATTGACATAAACAGACGTTGTGACATTGTAGCAGTTAATACTAAGGTGACAAATGAAGGATTAGGCTACTTGGAACAACAACACACAAAACAGCAGTAGCATATCAAACATATATTGTCTTAAGTAAACAAACTGTAAAGTTAGCCTTTCGTTGCCTTGGTGTCAAGAGACAGGCACCTCCCCACTTAGCAATAAGCTGGTGTTTGAACTTTGTAACCAGGAACACCACAGAAGTGCTGAGTTCTTCTTTTGCTGATTTGCTGGATGGAGCTCTGACTCTCCTGTAGGATAACTGGGAACCATTCCACACGCTGGGCATCTTGCCTTGAGTTCTGAACATTCCACATTGCCTTTTCCACTGCCTCAGGCTGTTGGGAATCTTATTAGATTTAACCATTTATTCAGAACACTCTCCTTTAATCAGCTGTGGCTCTGTGGCCACACCTCTGCCTCAAAACCAGCTCATACAAATGAATTAGGAACAGCAGCAAGTCCCTTGAGTGCACTTCTCCATTCAGTAAGATCCTTCACCTGACGAAGGGGCTGCACTCAGAAAGCTTGTGGTTTTAAATAAACCTGTTGGACTATACCCTGGTGTCGTGTGATTTCCGACTTTGTCCAATCCCAGTCCAAAAGCTGCACCTTCACATCGATAAGATCCTGGGTGATCTAATTATGCCACATTCCTGCTGACCCCTGATAATCTTTCATGTCCTTGTCGATCAAAAGTCTTACCTACCCTGCTTTAAAAATATTCAAGGACGCTGCTTCCAAAACAATTTCAGGAAGAGGGTTCCAAAGATAGTTAACCCTCTGTGAGAGAAACAATTCTCCCCATCACTGTCTCAAATGGGTGAGCCCTTATTTGTAAACAGTGATCCATTGTTCTAGATTCTCCCCCAAAAGGAAACATCTTTTCAACTTCCACCATGTTAATACCTCTCACAATCTTAAACGCTTCAATTGAGGGATCTCTTATTTTTCTAAGCTCCAGAGATACACGCCAGCCTGTTTAATGTTTCCACTTAAGGCAAATCCCACCCATTCCAGGTATTAGTCCGGTCAATCTTCTTTGAGCTGTTTCCATTGGAAAACATGCTTCCTTAAGTAAGATGGCAATATTCGACATAGTATACTGATGGAAATACAGAGAATATGAGCAGCAGTAAGCCATTCAGCCCTACGAGTCTACTCTACTGTTCAATACGATCATGGCTGATCATCCAACCCAATATCTTGTTCTTGATTTTTCTCCCATACCCTTTAATCCTTTTAGCCCTAAGAATTATATCTAACTCCTTTATGAAAATATTCAATGCTTTAGCCTCAACTAGATTCTGTGGCAGAGAATTCCATAAGCTCACCACACTCTGGGTGAAGAGATTTTTCCTCATCTCAGTCCTAAATGGCCTCCCTCCTATCCTAAAACCGAGTGGTCCTGGTTCTGAACTCCCTGGTCATCGGGAACATCTTCCTGCATTTACCCTGCCTCGTCCTGTCCGAACTTTATTCTCGTTCTTCTAAACTCCAGTGAAGATGGTCCTAACTGCTCCAGCCTCTCCACACACATCACTCCTATCATCCCAGGAGTCAGTCTCATAAACCTTCACTGCACTCCCTCCATAGCCAGAACAAATGTCCTCAGATGAGGTGCGGTCTCACCAAGGACCTGTACAATCGCTGTTCCTGTATTGAATCCTCTGGCTATGAGGGCTAATATACCATTGCTTTCTTTACTGCCTCGTGCACCTGCATGTTTACTTTCCAAGGATACCCAGGTCTCGTTGCACATCCCCCTTTCCCAATCTACCACCATTCCAATAATAATCCTCTTTCCTGTGTCCACTATAAAAAGTGGATAACCTTACATTTAACCACGTTACGCTGCATCTGCCATGCATTTACCCACTCGCTCAACTTGTCCAAACTTGAAGTATCTCTGCATCCTCCTCACAGCACACTTTCCTACCTAGCTTTGTGTAGATATTACATTTAGTTCCCTCATCTAAATCATCAATTTATGTTGTGAATAGCTGGGGTCCAAGCATTAATCCCCACAGAACCCTACTAGTCACTGGATGACACTCAGAAAACGACCTACTTTTTCCTACTCGTTGTTTCCTCTCTGCCAGCTAGTTCTCTACCCATGTCTGTACGCTACCTGCAAACCCATGCAATTTCATTTTAAACACTAATCTCTTATGTGGGACCTCACCAAACACCTTCTGAAAATCCAAGTAAACTTTATGCACTGGCTCACCCTGATCGACTCTACTAGTTACATTCCCCTAAATTTTCAATAGATTTGTCAAGCATGATTTCCCTTTTGTAAGTCCATGCTGATTCTGTCCATTCCTGTCACTGCTTTAAGTGCTCTGTTATTAAATCTTTTAGATGGACTCTAGCATGTTCCTGAATATCGGTGTCAGTCTAATTGGTCTATAATGTGCTGAAAACAACCAATGCTGGAGATCACAGTAGGTCAGGCAGCATCCATGGAGAGACAACAAGCTAACGTTTCAAGTCTAGATGACTCTTCATTAGAGCTGTGAATGTGATCTCACAGTGTTCTGTAAAACCGAAACCTCACAATGATGACATATTATTTTCTTTAATTACTTGCCATTACTGTATACTAACCTCGAGATTCATGCACGAGGACACACAGATCCCACTGCATCTCAAAGTTCTGCAATATCTCAGTACTTAGGCAGTATGCTTCTTTTTCATACTTGCTGTCAAAATGGAAAATGGCACATTTTCCTACATCTACTCCATTTCTCAAATCTTTGCCAACTCCTTTCTCCAGTCTATATCTGTTCGGGTTAGGGTTAGGGCTATGTCCTCTTGACAAATTACTGCGTTAACTATTTTTGTGTCATCAGCAAATTTAGCAACTACATTTCTGGTGCTTGCATCCAAATCATTAGTGTAAATTGGAAAAATGTTGAGGCTCCAGCATTGATCCCTGTGACACACCACCCATTACATCTTGCTAACCAGAAAATGACCCATTTATACCTCCTCCGTTTCCTGTTAATTAGCCAATCTACTATCCATGGCGAGCTTTCCCTGGTGACCGTAATTTTCTTGAATTCCTGCTCCCCTTCCATGTCCAGACTGACAGCTACTTCTAGGATGTTCCTTGTAGCCTCTAATATAAAGACTGATGCAAAATACCCACTCAATGCCTATGAGGGACTTTGCAATTCTCCAAACACCGTGAGTCTTCATCGAAAGGGAAGGGAAGGGAAGGTCATGTGAGTTTTAGATAAAACTTTGACACGTACACCTCATGAAAAATGACTTTTGTGTAACAAATTGATAACATGGAAACTCGGCTGACCCACATGACATAGCATTTTATAATGTTTGCAGTCACAAGGTCCCACCTTTGCAACCTCTCCTCTTGTCGGAGGTATGTGACCCTCAGGTTAAACCACCGTCAGTCATCTCTCACTTTCTCTAATGAGAGAGTAGCCCTATGGCCCTCTGGTACAAAGACAAGGTGAGTTGTACAGGACTAGAACCTTACTGGAAAGAGAGATGTGTCGCTCTTGCACTCAGCAGGACAAATGCAAGAATGCCAAATTTCAAACAATCACAACAATTTACCCTACAGGAGAAAAGGGGCTTAATTTGTTGGTAGGTCTACTCTGGTTGGCTGAGGTGTCACCGTGGACAAAGAAATCGAACACCATTGGCTTCCCGAGCCCTTTCATTGTGTGGTATTCGTTACTGCCATCATTTGAGATTTGCCTTTCTTATGTTTCTCCTGACAGGGCAAGGTAAACAGCTTCAGAAACATGCCTCCCTTTTCAGCAAGAACATAGTAAATGCTATATTAAAACACTACATAACTATAATGTAACATTTTATAATAAGAAGACATATAACATCACTTGTAAGATGAATAAACTTTTACACCCAATAAGATTGAAATAACAACCAATAACAGGAGCTTGGATCAGAGAAGGTAAAGTCTAAGCCCTATGTTGAGCTTACCTGCCTGAGAATTGGGGATTACAGTAATCCTTTTCAATCTGCTCCATGTCTGGGAGATCTTTCCACCCTGCCTCATAAACCTGCCATCGATAAGGAAGCCTGAAGTGCACCAGTTTACACCGATCTGTGTCAATCACAAATAAACAGATCATTTCAAATGGAGTGCAGCTTGTTCTTTGACGGTTTTCCCTCAAAATCATTCTTCATATCCTTGGATCAGAGCTTGCAATGTTAGTCAGAAAATCACAGCTTGAGCTAGACTTCAGTGAACTCTTTCAAGGAGCCAGTAAGGGAATGATAGGTCAAATGGCCTCCCTTCTGATATGTACTGATTAACTTGTTCAGAGATGTTGAGTAAGTGGGGCTTGAACCCAGACCTCCTGATCCAGAGGCAGGGTCACTACCATTGCGCCACAAGTCTCCTTCTGTTCTGTGAGATTGCATGAAAATTATGGATCTGCCTTTGGAAGCCGATCCATAGCACAAAGAAAGATCAACGTGTGTCACATTGCTGTAGTGTTTTATACGGAAAGCATCAGAGATGATACAGAAGAGCTAGGTACAGGTCACAACCTCAGACCAAACTGCAGCCTTCCGATGAGGGCGCATGGTGTCAAAATAACAAAACTTGAACTGATGTTAGAAAGTTCTTCACACAAAGTGTGACCAACATCTGGATTGGTTTCCTGCAAAACTCTTGGAATGGTTTGATAAACAACTGGACGTTTTGATGGGGGGAGCATCAAGATCTTTCAGTATTGAGCATCTTTGAAAGTACATAAAAGACTCAGCTTGAATGAAATGTATCGTAAACTGCTACAGGAAGCAAGAGAAGAAATGGCACAAGCGTTGATTAATTATCGAATCTCACTAACTCTGGCTGCAGGATTGGTGCCACATGCACGGAGAATTGAACTGTTGGTTAGAAAGGAGGAGGGCATAGACAGAGTAACTACCAGATATACAGCCCAACCTCGGAGATGGGCAAATTATTGGAAATTTTGACACAGTGCATTAATTGACCATTAGAAAAATGCAAATTAATCACTGTCGATTTGGCATGCACGATTTACTTGAGTGAATTATTTTGAAGAGGTATCAAGAAGGATCTACGAAGGTTGTGAAATTAATGCAATTAGTTTTTCTTTGGCAAGGTCTCACATGACAGACAGGTCAGAAAAGTCATGGGATTCACAGGGAGTGGCAAATTGAATATAAAATTAGCTCAGTCGCAGGTGGTTAAGATTTATGCTCATTGCGTATTTTTGGAACTGGAAGGTGAGGTTCCACAAGGCTCAGACTGGGTCCATTGTGAGCCAATTATTTAGACTTATAAACAACAACCATGCTCAAGGGGTTTGCAGGCAATAGAAACGTTGATGACATGGTTGTTGGTGAGGGAGAAAGCTGTAGATTGCAGAAAGATATCAATGGGCTGGTCAGGCAGGCAGAAAGGCAGCAAACAGAAATCAATTCAGAGAAGCTTGAAGGAGGACAAACAAGGCGAGAAGTCACACAATACATGGCAGCATTCCAAATAGTACAGCAGGAAAGAAGGACCTGGCAGTGAATGGCTGCAGGTTTCTGGAAAAACAGGACAGGTAGATCAGGTGGTCAAAGCAGCTTATGGAATAGTTTCCAAAGTCTGCAAAATGAAAGCACAGAGGTAGCGCTAAAACTAAACACTAAGTAGACCGCAGCTAGGGTGCTGTGTATAGTGTTGGTCATCACTTCATTGAAAGGATCCATTACAGAGGATGGAGAGGAGATTTCCTTTGGAATAGAGCAGGCTGAGGAGAAATTTGATTAAGGTGTAATAGAAGGGGACAAAACAGGAAAGAGAAAGTGGGAACAGGGTACAGGGTTGGATGATCGGCCACGATCATATTAAACAGCAAAGCACGTTTGAAGGGCCGAATGGCCTGCTCCTGCTCCCATTTTCTACATATTCCAACCAATGGAAGTACTTCTTGAAGTGTAGTCACTATAATAGTGCAGCAAGTGTGGTAATCAAATTGACCACGGCAAGATTTCACCAAAAGCATTGAGATAAAGACCACATCATCTTTTTAGTGAAGTTGTTTGTGAGACAATAGGACAGACTCTCCCGCTTTTCTTTGAACTGGTGCCAAAGGAACTTTCCCACTGGCAGCAAGTTGCTGGCTTCTCCTCACAACGTTGAACCCTTGAGATTTACAGCACCTTTAGCACCCAAACCTATTCCCCTTTCCAACCCCATCATGCAGCTGATGTTTCAGTACCTTTAAAGGAGCAGTGCTTCCTTAGGAAGAACAAGCAGATCTCCTCACTGTCCACATTAGTGTTGGGCTCACTGATGGAGCGGCTGAGTGAAAGTCCCTTAACTGGAATGAAATACAAGGATCACAAGTTACATTTATTGGCAACATCTCTGGAAAATGATTGGTGAATGCAGAACACAACTGTAACCACATAAGGTTCATTCAAAAGGAAAAGAAAACACTTTGTCCGTTGTATCATTGTTAATGAAATGGCCTGACTCCTTTGATCTCCTCCTGTCACGCAGCAAAATTATTCCTTTTTAATGATTTATCAATTCCATTTTGCAAGGTACCATTAAATCTGCTTACACACCAAACCACCCCCCCCACGCCCCAAGCCCTTTAGAACGTAGAACAATACAGCACAGTACAGGCCCTTCGGCCCACGATGTTGTGCCGACCTATTATCCTACTCTAAGTTCAAACTACCCTGCATACTCTACATTTTACTATCATCCATGTGCCTTTCCAAGAGTCGCTTAAATGTCCCTAATGTATCTGACTCCACTACCACTGCTGGCAGCGCATTCCACGCACCCACCACTCCCTATGTAAAGAACCTACCTCTGACATCTCCCTTGTACTATTTCCGCCCTGGGAAAAAGTCTCTGGCTATCCACTCTCTCTATACTTATCATCTTGTACACCTCTATCAAGTCACCTCTCCTTCTTCGCTCCAATGAGAAAAGCCCTAGCTCCCTCAACCTTTCCTCATAAGACCTGCCCTCCAGTCCAGGCAGCATCCTGGTAAATCTCCTCTGCACGCTCTCTAAAGCTTCCACATCCTTCCTATGATGAGGTGACCAGAACTGAACACAATATTCCAAATATGGTCTAACCAGGGTTTTATAGAACTGCAGCGTAACCTCACGACTCTTAAATTCAATTCCCCTGCCAATGAAAGCCACTTTGGGTAGTGGAATTCACACTGTAACAACTCAGTAATCTCGCTGGTTCTCTTCCCAATTCTCTTTGACCTGGTCACTGCCTTTTCCCCTTATTTACCCTGTTACACAATCTTGCCACACCTCTATTCAAGCTAACCTTTACCTGCCCTGCTGTAAGGGGAATAACCTCACTTCTCCAGTCACACTGCTCAACTGAAGAATGACAAACCCACAACATCTGCCACCTAGAACGTTGAGGGCAAGAGATATAGGGAAATGCCATCACAAGCACTTTTCCCTCCAACTCTCGCACCATGCTGATGTGGAATTGTACCTCCGTTCCTTCATTGTCACTATCTCCACAGCCTTCCCTAACAGTGCTGTGTGCGTGCATGCGCGTCTGTGTGCATGTGTCTGTACGTGTCTATGTGTGTGTCTGTGTGTGCCTGTCTGCGTCTGTGTTTCTGTGTATGTCTGTGTATATGTGTGTGTCTGTGTGCTTGTGTCTGTACGTGTCTATGTGTGTGCGCGTGTGTATCTGTGTGCGCGTGCCTGTGTGTGTAAATCTGTGTGCGCGCCTGTGCACGTGTGCCTGTGCGTGTGCATGCCTGTGCGTGTATGTGTGCGTGCGTGCCTGTGCGTGTCTACACCTGAAAGACTGCAGCGGTTTAAGGCCTCAGCTCATCTTCACCTTCTCAAAGACAAGATGGTGAGGCCTCTCCTGGAGCACTGTGTCCAGGTCTGGTCGTCCTGCTATGGGAATGATATTATTCAGCTGGAGAGGTTGCCAGGGGCGGAGGGTTTCAGTTATAGGGAAAGGCTGGACTTTTTTCACTGAAGAGTAGGAGGTTGAGGGGTGACCTTATTGAGGTTTATAAAATCATGAGGGGTATAGATAAGGTGAATGTCAAGGGTCTTTTCCATGGAATGGGGGAGTTCAAAACTACGGGGCATACATTCAAGGTGAGAAGTGGAAGATTTAAAAAAGACATGAAGGGCATTTTTTTTTTTTTACACACATAGTGGCTCGTGTGTGGAATGAACTTCCAGAGGAAGTAGAGGATGCAGGTACAGTTAGGATGTTTCAAAGACACTTGGATAAGTACATGAATAAGAAATGTTTGGAGGGATATGGGCCAAACGCAGGCAGGTGGGTCTAGTTTAGTTGGGATTATGGTTGTCATAGGCTAGTTGGACCGAAGGGTCTGTTTCTGTGCTGTCTGGCTCTATGACTCTATAACAATTAGGGACGGGCAATAAAATGCTGACCTTCCCAGCAATGCCCAAAACCCATCAACCAATAAAGATGGAACCCCCTCGTCCCTTGTGCGGTTCCAAGGTAAAACCTCACCACAAAGCAAAGACATGGGGGCTGCATATTGTGATTTTCAGCAGGGCAAGGAAGAAGGAACAGAAAGCCAGCACACTGCATGTTCCTTCAACACGGTCCAATTAAACACCGGGTAACGAATTAGAGACTGTCCAATCCCTGCTTAGAGCATTCGGTAACAAGTGAATTATTTTTGAAATGCAGCAGTCAAATGGAGCACAGCAAGATCCCACAAACCTAGCAACCCGCTCGTGGCTTTGATGAATTGATATGCATTGGATAACAAGTGCCATAGGATACATTTAATGCCCAACTGAGACTCAGTTTACTGTCATAATTAAACAAGGCCACCTCCAGCCACGTTACATTCTCTCACTAACGCACTGAAGCAACAAACATACGTTAGGGGTTCAGGTTCTTGGCTCTGATCCATAACCTCCCGACCTGCAAGGCCAGAGTGAGCCACAGACACTTTTTAAGAGCAGGGATGCAGGGAAAGAAAATTAAACAGTGAAAATTCAGATCGAAACAGAACCGTGCTTTACTTTTGTCAGCAGCAGCTTCCCTTCTCCGGATTTCACAGATGTTACGATAAATGGAACACAGATCACAGATCAGTTCGATGTTCAATCGGCAATTCTCCAGCGAACTCCGGCTTTCCAGGAAGCTGTGGGATCGCCAGCATTGGCTTCCCAGTGGACAGGCACCCAGAACATACTGAAGGCAGATGTGAAGCTTATTGCAAGACTGTTTGTAGTTGCAAGAGCCAAAGGGGCCGTTCCCCTTGTTGTAAAAGGCACAGACCTGAAAAGACAAGATGATTTGTAATTTCATCCCCTGTTTATCCACAGCCTTCCTCTGTCCAGGACGCCCAGTTTGTCCAGTTCCTGGTGACAGCTCTTGAGATTCTGACAGGGAAGCAAGCAAAGTGTCGAAAGAAAACAACAACAACTTATATTTCCATGGCACCCAATGTAACGTCCCAAGGTACTTCACAAAAGCATTACAAAGCAATGTCTGACATTGAGCCCCATAAGGAGGCATTGGGTCAGGTGATGAAAAGCTCACAAAGAGATAGGTTTTAGTGAGTCAGAGATAGTAGGAACTGCAGATGCTGGAGAATCCGAGACAACAAGGTGCAGGGCTGGATGAACACTGGATGACCGTTAACTTCCCCTCCTCGGTGGTCGAGAACGCCCTCAACCGTGTCTCCC